TTGTATTGTTTTCTGTTTATAGCGTTTCAAGGAGTGTAAGCGGAAAATTATTTTACCTCTTTTGCAATTGACTATCGTATGTGTCTCTTTAAAAAAAAAATTGAGAAAGAAAACGATGCTGTACTGTTATCGGAAGCTTAAAAAATTACGTGATAAATGATATAAGTGTATTTTTTGTCTGTTATTTGTACTTATTTCATCACATATGTTCGCGTCAAATGAACATACTTTTACTAAATTTTTATATATAAATTTTCTAGAATATTTAAACTAAAAGTATTTAATTAACAAAAGTTTCAATTGNATAAATGATATAAGTGTATTTTTTGTCTGTTATTTGTACTTATTTCATCACATATGTTCGCGTCAAATGAACATACTCTTACTAAATTTTTATATATAAATTTTCTAGAATATTTAAACTAAAAGTATTTAATTAACAAAAGTTTCAATTGTCTTACTGGAGACAATGACTAAGCAGAACATCACAAAAAGCTTATTCCCTTGTGTAAATAACCGTCTCTTTACAATGTTGGAACTCGAGAAATAGACTCTATTACTTTTAGAATTCAATGGGTTTAAGTAGATTAAAATTTCCTTTCTGTTGGTGAATTTTATTTTCGGTCTTTGAAATTTGAGTTAATAAGCTTTGTTTAATTTTCAATATACAAATGATTAATACTCATTTTTGTTCTACAATATTTAATTCGGGTAGTTCAGAGTTTCTCGACATGCAAATCGTGGATCCCTCGGTTCCATCAAGTAGTAGGTGGGACGTTGAGTTCTAAAATGTAAAAGCGGTATTTATTTGTTAAAGGCAGTTGAATGAATGAAAGAAAATGAATTACATTTTGTACAGAGATTTGATTGAAATTAATTTGATGCCAATATTTTTAATAATATATTTTCTTTGTAATTATTCATATTAAGATCGAAATTTTTTAAAACAATAGATCTAATACGTGTTATAGCAGAACTTTATAAACGTTATTTGTTCTATGATTACAAGTTTCACATGAAAGTACGAAATAACATTAGAGAAATTCACTTATTCGACCTGTTTATTATTTATCGGTCTACAAAGCGAGAGAAATCATGTTCAGTATGACTACATAGGTACAACAGTGTTACGTTATACACTGCTTTTCCTTGTAAGTGACCAGGAATCACATGATGCTACCCGGCATGAAATAGCCACGAGCAATGCGACTCGAAGCGCTAGATGGGCTTTAAACTGATAACTTATTAGTTAAAGGCTTTCTCTTCTTACTTAAGTTTGTAATGTAAACCCGTAATTGTCCTTTCTGTAAATAAATAACACACGAAAACAAAATTTAATTTTTACTTAATTACGTCTCGTAATTAAGTAAAAGTCCGTTCATTAGAACATACGAAATAAGTGTTGGTCAAAAGAAGACCTAAAGATTTTATTATCTGTTAGTAAAAGTAACATGTAATTGTTAATTCTTTTTAAAATTAGAATTTCGTAAGTTGTTTTCGGGTCGAGAAAAAATCTACAGCTTTCCCCTCTTAACGAACTTGTTTAATCACTTTTTACAATGGATGTTGATTGATTAATATTATGTTAGCTTAATGATTTTTTACTTTCAAGCTTTAGACTTGTATAACAAAATAATGGAAAATTCCAGGAAATAGCAGTTTGGGACTATCATTATGAGTTATAACAGTACAGTATACAATGACCTATACACATAGATTTTCAGAATACGATAGGTTACAGAAAAATCAATTATTGTTCGTCGAAAATTACAAAACAATTTCACACGAATTCTAGAATATTTACATTTTCTATAACGAAAATTGTACAGACAAGTTATACTTTTGTAAATATTTCTTAATTCTAGTCGGAGAGTAACAGAAGTATTATCGAATATACATTAATATAATTAGTTAACAAAAGGACAGTCGATACTCTGTCAAAAACAATACATGTACACAAAAATCTTTACATTAACAAAAGGACACTTTGAAATTAGTAGTAACATCTATTGACAATCAAATAATAACTCTGATCTATCATACAAAGTGTCTCCTTTAAAATATGCAGGGATATCTATATTCTATTAACAGGATTTTATTTTAGGATACGCCCCTTTTCAGTCTACTGAAAGGCATATTTCGTAATACTTCTCAGTTTATAGAATAGAGATGTCTTCTCTTTTAGAAAATGCACGCAAAAAATTTTCTTTAAAAAAATCTGGTACGATAGCTTTTAAGAAATATAACTTGGGTTTTTATGATTTCGCGATAATCAAAATAAGCTAATACAAAAATTTTAATATATATTTTTAAAATATTAGTAATGCATTTATTATTCATACACCATTGTCGGAAATACTACAACTAACATATAGTACAACAGAGATGTTTGTTTCAAAGTAATAATAAATACCTTTCTATTATTTTAGGATTTCTTCGAGTGAGATACGAATCCGAAACGCAGAAAACGAATAAATTATTATATCAGAAGCTCAGTTAAATAAAGTCCTGAACAGGCAATTGGAACTTCATATTATATATTTTGAAAATTCGAAAGTACTGTTTATGCATTTATTATTCATACACCATTGTCGGAAATACTACAACTAACATATAGTACAACAGAGATGTTTGTTTCAAAGTAATAATAAATACCTTTCTATTATTTTAGGATTTCTTCGAGTGAGATACGAATCCGAAACGCAGAAAACGAATAAATTATTATATCAGAAGCTCAGTTAAATAAAGTCCTGAACAGGCAATTGGAACTTCATATTATATATTTTGAAAATTCGAAAGTACTGTTTATGCCTTATCCAATCGAGACCATCAGACAATTCGTTACGTAAGTTTTTCACGATACTTACCTTTCATTTAATTTCAATACATTGTCATAAATTATAATTTATATTTTTTATAACAGTTATGTACGGACGGACGATCCCGGATTGTTTTCTTTTACACACGCTTTCGATCTGTATCACTTGAGTTTAAGATACGAGTTAGAAAATTTAAAAAAAAATGCGGATTATTTATCATTCGGCAAATAAATCTGCATACCGTCTGTGTAATCCACGATTTTGCACGTGAAATCGGTGATCTGGTCATAACTTATTATTGCTGGCTAGCTTTCGACGAACTCGGAGAAAGGCTATTTTCAACAGTCGACTTTATGTGCTGTAAAATTGCAACAATTGATAGACTGCTATCTCGAGCGATATATCAATCAGTCAGTGAATTGCGATTACTACAAGCCGTGTATCAGTGGAGCATAGAAGAAGTTAAAAGAAAATAAGGGGCAGACAACTTTCATTTGATGAATCAAGAATCGAAAAAGAATGCAATAAGAATTGTTATGGAGCCATTTATTGTAAAAGTCAGATTTCTTGCCATGGATGAACACGAATTGCAATCTTGTGTTTTTACAATGAACTTGTTAAGCGAAGAAGAAAAGTGTGAAATCTGGCATGCTTTTAAGTATGGTTATTATTCCTTGTATCCCAGTTACTTCAGTCCAGAAACAAAAACCAGAAGCGTAATAAATTATTGTAACTTGTTCTCGTACGTAAATCTTGGAAATTCGTTTATGGTCGCAAACAGAAAGATGGAAGATTGCACATATTTTAGCAGCGAAGTAGTTGTGAGAGAAGATTGTTACGTCACGGCTCTTCGATTTCCGGTGAACCTTGGCGAACGTTTTCCAATGTACGTATACGGGTATATTAACTCTTTGGACAACGGACAGTTTTCGTTTGACACCGTTTGCAATGGAGACGGAGTAGCATATCTGCAAACGTTTTTGTATCTAGAAAAACATTGGTCAATTCGTTTATTTGCTTTCTTTTTCCACGCTGAAAATGTCCAACCCGATATCGAGTTTTCACCTGAACTGAGTTACTTTGTGAGTGACGAAAGAACAGATGCAAGGAAATTTGAAGACAAAATTCTAACCTGTTACAGAAACCTTGTGAATAATATTTACTTTTCGGTTGATTTATATTTTTTAAATGAAAAGTTCCTCTGGTGTAAAGAGAAATTTGAACGAAAATATGATGTAAAGTTAAATTCGAATATTATTATTTCTGTAAAATATCTGCAAAATGGGTGTGTACGTGAATGAAATAATGAATTTATTGGATTTACAGAGAACAAAATTTAAATTTAAAGTGCTTATTAATGTAATTTTTTTCTGAAAAGTATATTGTCATTAGTCGAGTTCTTTAAAATTTAAAATTTGGTATTTGCAAATATATCATCATTAAGAACGTTTATAATTGTCAGCATTTTAATGATAACTACGTGGGTGATTTTACTTTTTATTGCAGTAGATGTTCGAGAAGAAATATAATTAATCTTTTATGTCTTCATGTTAGTGATGATAGAAATAAGAAGAGTTAAAACTAGAATTTTTGTCTAAATGTACGAGCTATTCGATATCCACGTTTCAATTTTATTATTTACAGTATTGTCCTTTGTATTCGTTGTATAGAATGTGATTTTTTTTCCATTCTTTTCATCTACGACGCTTCGCGTAAATTTAATTGGCTTCAAATTTGATTTTTTCAATTGAATGTGTCCGGAAATCTTACCTAGTTATTGACATTTTCTGTTAAAAGAACAGTGCGTTTAGAACGAGTTGACTGCAGAATTTCTACATTAGCAGTTTGCATATTCAAAAGAAGCTTTATAAGGTGTATCTTTAATACTACGGGATTACACTAAGATATTTTTTATAGCGGTACTGTACTTATTTTTAATACTAAACAATGGGACGTTGAAGACCATTGAGAAATTTTCGACGAATTTTTTTAAAATGTACAATTTTTAAGAATAAATACAAAATATTTATTTATTATATTTACAGCAATCACATTTTAGAGAATTTTTATTGTCATATTATTTATTTAAAAATTTACATTAATATATTTTATTTTGTGGCAATTTTAATCATGCTGGTTTATTGCATGCCTGTTTTATGAATAGATATGTTTATGTACAAAGACAAGGAATTAAGTCATTTTTTTTAAAATTTACTTCTGGTTTGCGTAATACTAACAGAAGGCATTTATTGCCCAATGTGTTTTTTTAATTGAATAAAATGCAAATTTCTTATATCATGCTTGAGTCGAAATTTCTTTTGAGTTTGTCTTTTCCTCCCCAAGATAGAGTATAACATAACACACATGAAACGTAATTAGTCAATAAGTGAAAAAGTTGTAAAACAATACAGAAAATTGTGAGATAAAAATGCTATTTTAATTACAACTTGTAGGAATTAGCATTTTTCCTATCAGTTTGACTTATTTCTAGCTTTATAGATGTAATAGATAAATAGGTAGACTGTTTTCTTGAATATGTTTAGTGTTTACACGCATTAATTGAAAACATATAATTTAATTTGTGAAAATTTATATTATAATAAAAATATTTGTTAGATACATTTTAGTATTTTATTATATATATTTTTATGTAATCGATGGCGAATCGAATAAATACGGTACATAAACTGAATTTTTTTTCTATAAATTTTCCTAATTTTTTAATGTGAAATTTTAACATAAATAACATTAAATTACGCACTTAAAACCTTACCTATATATTATCAAAGAAAATTATTCAAAAGATAGACTTGAACGCAACTTATAAAACTGCAATTTAATACATTCATCAAATTATTTTTCTTGTTTACTTTTTCTTGTTTACTACTTGTGTACTCTTCTCTATTACTACCGTGTCAATATTTTATAAAAGCTAATGGAAATATTGCTAAATTACAGTTGTTATATTAGTTATATACAACGCTGTGTTCATTTATTCCATTAAGACTTATCGATTTTATATTTAGGTAATTTTATGGAAATTATATGTACAGGTACTATAAATCTGTACTGTACTTATATATTAACATCAGGACTGAGTCCGATTACTGTCTATTACAAGTAACATGTTCAGATATACATATAGAATAATCTCTTACTAAATTTCGTGAAAACCTTGCGTCATAGTATCACATCAGGCAATTTTTATTGATTAATAAGTATCCCACGATATTCAATCGCAGTTGACTGTATCTCCTCATCAAGAAACACTTAACTTCATTTATCCATTCATCAGAAGTGTTAAGGTATTTGGTTCAGTAGATTCCCGAAAACTTTACTTAATGTGGACAGAAGGGTGGCCGAGTTTGTGAAAATAACGGGTTATCGAGAATGGGGTTAAAAAAGAATAAGTACGAGTGTTTCCTCAGAAAATACTGTACTGTACTGTACTTGTATGCATTGTTTGCTCGAGAATACAACAGAGAATAAACTGCCCAATTACCCTTAAACGAAGGAAAAGTATGTACTTTATAAAGGCATAGAGCCTTTACTACACGAAAATGAAAATTAATGAATACACAGTGTACAGTAATTTACCCGATAAGACAGACCTCAGAAAATACTTCGAGGCATAAAGCTGTCTGTAATGAAAATTAACTAGGGGTTTTTCGCCCTGCCAGGGTGTGGCCGAGTTATCCGGACTGTCGAGTTATCGAGTGCCGAGTTTTTGGGACTCTAATGTATTAAGATACTGTATATGAATGATCGTCCAGTCGACATTAAAAGTTATATCGGCAAAGTTTTTGGTGTTTATGTCAACGTTATAGAAAAGTTCAGGTGGTTCAATGTGTTACTGTTTTCCGCCACCATAGTCAAAGAAAATGTCTTGTGTAGTAGTTGGATATTCGTGTTTCCGAAGCAGAAAGACGTCATAATATTGTTTCTATTATTTTACAGCAGTGGTGTCCAACCTTTTCGTTTTTCTGGGCCGCATTGGAAGAAGTCAAGGAGTTTTGGGCCACAAGTTTATATAATATATACTTGTGGCCCAATATACAGTAGAGCGTCGTTCATCCGAATCAATTGGGGACTGGTGTTGTTCGGATAACTTACTTTTCGGATAACCGATTATGTACGAAAAGATATATTAACCTATCCT